GTGTAACCTTCCGTGGATGCTATAGTTTTCGTTTCTTTAATTTTTTAGGCCATATGCTATGGTTTGAATAGAAATCCCAGTTTTCTGGTGAATTTCTTTGGGAGACTGGATATTATTCTGCTAGAAATGTAGTAGTCTGTCAAGATGGGAATTCATCATATTTCAAAGCCAAGGCAGTTAAGAAGTTAATGCAAGTTTTGTTTAGTGCAGATAGTCTTACACTGCCTGTTGCAGACATCGAAATTCGCCTGAGGAGATAGAAAGCACCTTAATGGATAAGCTCCTCCGCAAGGAAAATCTTGACTCTTATTGAAGCTGCGTCGGCAGCCATGAATAGTGAGTATTGTGTTTGGTAATGGAGTGAGGGAGGACGCGGTTATTACGTCATGAATTGACATTTATATCATTTATATGATCATGTCGCTCGCAACGAAAAGGTATAGCTTCAAGGATCTATTTCCTCGTAAGTACTATCATCCTACATTAATAACTGCTATTACGCACATACTTGTAACCAAATTATTCACATTATAATCCATCATCGTAATTAATTCCCAACCCAATTAATCTTTCCAATGTATTAACTATAATATTTCTCATTGCATCAACTTTTATGTTCATTTATAATTAAGCCATCTCATCTGTCTCTTCTGCAAACACAGCATCAACCCCAACGCCGACACCGACATCAACATCAACCTTACCCCATCTAACTCCATCTAACTCGGCATCATCGATATCAATGTCGACATCCTCATCGTTGTCATTATCAACATCACATATACAACTATCACTATCCCGGTTATAAACTTTAATTCCTACATGCGATTTCTCCCTTCCAGAGAGTATCTTACCAAAGGATGTCGAAAAGTGAACGAAAAGCAAGCCTGCAAGACAACGAAAAGAGCTCGAGGGGCAGCTGAACCCTATCTTTTAAAACGATGTAATGGCCATGGAGGGTTTTTACATAGACGTGAGAAGGGACGATCCCGAGAATGTCATAGCGATGGATTTGTAAGACATATGATAATAATAAGCAGTAAGTGGATCAAATCAAACGCGTGCATCGAATGGATGGTTAGAGCTTTTTTGGTATCAGCGAGAGGGCAGAAAAGCGGATTACTCGAAAGCGTCGTAAAATTGCAGGTCAAAGAACCAAAGCACATCGAAGTCTTGTTGGTTCATATTCTCAAATGATGATGTACACAATGTTGCATATTCGATCAGCTCTTGATTATTTGTGTGAGTATTGAAGTTAGCACTGGGCGATTGTGCTTGATGTATTATTGATGAGTTTGGGGAAGTGAGGCATTCGGGCTTGGTTGTAGTTGTTGCTGTTGCTGCTGTTGCTGCTGCTGTTGCTCATTGTAAATACTACCAAATAATTATTTAATATTAACACAGTTGGAAGAAAACTCGTATATAGAACATCAAATTGAGATTGATGGTAAGAATGAAATGCCAACACGTGAAGTCAACAGTAATTCGCAAAAAAATACGATCATGTTGTAAGCACATTCTTATCATATTCTTATCACATTCTTATACTTATTACAATTTTGCACATAGACCAATTAACCTATTACTTTCGATTTTATTCTACTAAATTTTTTATCTATCTCGCTTAGTAATATTACATACAAGTGAAACAATACAGGCAACGTATCTTATTACCGTAAACTCTATATGAAATAAGCGACGATCATGTGATCTGTAATGTAATAATAAAGATAACGCAGACAATTGCTACGCGATTTTACATTGTTTTTAAGCCACAATCAAAGGTAAGAGCCCTTTTTACGGTAATAAAGAGGTCTACAACGTTATTTGGCCCGTAGCCTCGGTGATATAGACACCTTGTGACAAACGTTCATACACTTGCCCGTCTTGGCCGATGTATGTCGTAGAAGACTCGACAAAAAACACATCGTGAATATCGTAAACAACGGGTGTTGATGAGCGCCTGCACCTAGAACAAGGGCAAGCTGGACGTCTTCTGGCAGTAATTTGGCCTATGTGCCGTATTCGGCAGCTTCTTCGAACCCGTGACGTCTCATTTCTTATACTAGGCATGCCGTTCGTATAAAGCTTTGTAATAGTAGATAAAAGTTTTTTTTGAAATGTACTTTGCTTAAAGAACGAGTATTTAGTTGCTTTGGTGATTTGTCGTTGCATGGCGTTTATTTTATACGTTCTGTGGGTGATACAGTTTTCGAAATATGTTGCTATTTACAACGGTAGCGTACTAAACGTTTAGTGTATAATATTTCTCTTTTTTAGAGTAGCAAAATGGTATGAGCCTCACACATAATAAAATAATAATATAATGTTAATAAAAAAAGCAATACAAGTGGTATTACGTGTACATTTCTTAAGCATATGACGTTGAAAATTGTATCGTTAAATCTGTGCATAGGAAAAAAACCATAGGAAATAATTATGAAGCAAGTGTGACGACCACACATTACATTGTTAGGAAGCAATTGCAGAAATTTATACAATCACATCCGATTGGTGGTTATGCCAAATTACGTATAATATAAACATATATAGATGCTGTACATATATGCGAGCAATTGTTAAAATAGCCAACTTTTAATACAAATGCAATCTTCACTCTAAGAGAACCAATCATTGACAAGCATGTAAGTTACTATTTATTTAACAACATTTTATTTTCCATATTTATGGTAAAGTGGTGTGCTTTTCTTGGTTGCCAGACTATGTCGATAAAATTTTGGGGAGGGGAAATAATTCATTAAATAAACCATTCATCTTACAGTGATACATTTTATACAACTATTATTCAAATAGATAAAATAATGCCCGATTTTGCAATAGAACATGGTCTTAAGATACGTATTCAACATAAAGTCGGCGCCCGACCAAATTCGAAACATTGATGCTTGATTTTATTTGATGTGGAAATAGAAGCACACATCTTCTGATTAGTGAAACAACTGCCGAATTAATTGCATCCTAATACCAGGGTCTAGAATCTAGTATAGTTTCAATCAGCTAATTGTCAATTTTTAGTATTTATTATCTGATGACAGAGGTTAAGTTTGTTTCTTTTTGATGTTTTCCAACTTTTTGACCTTTGTAATTAGCATGAGCTTTTCTCACTATATCCGCACTTTTTTGAGTACGATAGTTGAATACATAATAAAAATTTTTTTCTGGCTACTTTAACGTTTATGGGGTCATTATGTGTGTAACAAATAGAGAATGGGCTGATGCTTGGTGTGCATGATCGACAGAATTTCAGGGGCGTGTTAACTCTTTGCTGAGCCGACAGCAGGTTACAAGCGTACAATGGACGGATCCATTCTTCAATGAAACAGTTCGCACTTATCAATACTTTTTGTTCGTTTGCAATATTAAATAAAATTACATGTGTTATTTATCAGATATGCAAGACCAAGGTCTGATAATAAACAAGTTGCTACAAATATCCGAACATCTCACTGTATATAATTAGAATAACCTTAGCAAGTATCAATAGTTTGTATATGGCCATACATAATTGACACGGATCAATATACGTTTCACGGTTCGAATCAAAGACTACGTTTTGCATGATTGGAACAAATGAAAAGATGTGCTACCGCCCAAAAGGTCAGAAGGCGTCTATGAAAAGCCTTACCTTCAATTTCTATTTACTTGTGTTTCTTTGTTATATGTGAACAAATTTCGGAAGTAAAACTTTAAATTGCTAGTAACAACCTATTACTATTATTAAAGGGGCAATTATTATTTACAGATGTACATAATTAACACGCCATATAATAAAATTACCATTGTTTGATAACGGTACTTAATCTGCATGTTAAACAATAGCTTCTCCTTGAATGTGTGAATTAATATCAAGTAACATAAGTCAATCAATTATAAAACTAATATTGATTTTTATAGTGCTCTTTCTGGATTGTGTGAATTATCCAAACCCTATCCAAGCAAAAGTTTTCTTAGAATAAACGACAAAGATAAGGGTGAACCAAAAATAGTCTTACACACATAACTAATTACGTAACAATCTAAATTAAGGGAGTGAAGTAATAACAAAGGGCTTCGCTAAGAAAGTAACACTTCTCTATGCTGCATAAATGCCTTTTTATAAAGGCGCTAGACGAAAGAATTTACGAAATAGTTATCACAAATCTAACTACAAGTATGTAAATAAAATAGCAGCTCACAAAATCGGTTTGTAGTTAGTTTTATTGCGCTTCCGCCGCCCAAAATAAATATTGTTATTGATTGGTTGACCAAACAATAAGGTGACACATATTATTCTATTTACTACCTAGATTGTAACAACGTCCTACCGTCCGAGCCCATAAACTTAATATTAACTTTGTGCATGCAAAATATAGATCATGTGCGGAATAACCTAAATTGTGCGATCTAAACCGTTAACTAGTCCAAAAGTCAAAGAACAATTGTCTTGAAACGTCCAACTGTAAAGCTGTAATAATCGAAAACTCATATTTTAATGATAATACTTTGGCTTTGCCGGCTGATAAACCATGCAACCCAACCAAAGTATGTAATAATAGTAATATGCTATATTCATATAAGCAAACTCAACCATGGTTTAAATTTTGTATAAAGAATGAAGTATTAAAAAGTTTTAATCGAAACTAGTAAAGCGCCGCATCTAATTATAATAATCTACGCATTGTTGCCAGTCATTTAGACTGCTGTCACGGGTCTGCTAAGTTGTTAAACCACTATAGTGATATTTATATAGTTTCCTGAGTCCTCTCATATAAGACGTAAATTAATCATACGTTTCACGTATCAATTGACAACATAGTAATAGGTGGGGATGGTTATTTTGCTGTTATTTATTCCCTTACTTCTGATAATCAACATGAACAATGGTGAACTCAATGAATGAATGAATGAATGAAAACTAAAAAATAAAAATAAAAACAAAAATAAAATGAAGATAAAAAATAAAAAAATAAAAAATTTCTCTCAGAGAAAATAAACGAATAATGGCGGCTGTCCGTTCGGAAGATTTCATGGTGGCGTCATATGATATCACCGATGGGGAGCCTGCGAGAAAACTATGCGTAGAAAGACAGGCGGTAAGCATACAGAAAACATATATACTTTATTTACACTGGTTTATAACATACCGATATAACGCAATTGGTAGTAAGAGTTAAGAGTTACGAATTTACGTGGAGACGAAGAGTAGGGTTCGAACGAGGATCCTCGGACGTGGAAAATCGAAAATGATAAGCGAACGTGGTATTCGATTGCGAGCATTTAGTTCTATTACACGAACATCATTGTGCTGCTTTGACATTAAATGAAGGTGGGATGGAACTTTTGCTGTTCCTACCGAAGTAGGACAGTTAATTTCTCCACGATGCAAAATGTCGCTGCTTTTTATAAGAACCTTTCTGCGTACAAGAATCGGCTTATTATTATACATGGAACTGTTAGATTTAATAGTCTAGACAAAATACATAAATTTACGTGACACTCAATTTATTACATAATATTATTTTTGGCCCCCGACCTATCCAAATTCCCATCAATGGGCTGTCTTGGTTTTTGGGACAAGAATATAGTTTCACTGCAGATATTAATATTCAATGACCTGTCTAAAGGAGTCACATCTTCAAATTTACATAGTCCCGTTCTATTTATCGACGTAGAACATAGCATTTTCAATTATCCCTTATTAGCAAGTAAATTGTTTAAAAATAGAATTAAACAAAGGTTCATTGAAACAACGATCTTGTTTGAGTATAGTACATTATTCACTTATTCGGCACTTTCTCGGAAACACGAAAGTCTGTTTAAACTGATCTTATTTATTTAGCCGTCTAAAATAAAATTCATAAATACCTTTTTTGTTCAATGGCATCGCTTTCAGGAGTAATGTGTTATTAGTCATCTTAAAATAGGTTAATAAAGCCGTCTCTAACAAGAATCCCGTCCACTCTACTGACCATTTTAGTTTCTGTGGCGTTTTGTCATTCCATTCATTTGTCAGTTTTTTCACAAGAAAGTACGTTATCAATTACTCAAACCCAGCTCGTAGAACAGGTTTTTTTACAACCCTCAAAAACCGAGTCGGACAAGAATTTCATTTGTCAGAAAAAAAATAGGAATCTCTGTAACAATCCTGTTTATCCTTTATTAGTCGCCGATCAGTTTAGCATCAATGGAGTAACGGCAACAATTTTATGTACCACATCGGCAACGGAAAATCAAATGACGAGTCTCCAGAAAGATCGGACTATGTCCCCAGCACTTTTTTTTCTTTTTTTTTTTGCAGAAAGTTGTTGCTTGTTGTAGAACGTATATAAAAGTTAAAAGAGCCGAATATAATACTCTTGATAGAATTATTTTGATTGGACATGGGCGTTGATATCCAGTGTTGGCGTGGATGGGATCTCGTCGTTTGTGGATACGAAGGCCAGGTCGCGTCCCCTCGATGGCCGCAGGTAAAGTTTAATGCGTCTATTCCCACTGAACGGCCGTTGGCGTGGTTGGATTGGGTGTTGTGGAGAGAAAGTAGTATGAGGTCGCTTAGGCGCGTGCGAACCCTGGACTATATATAATATTCGTGAGACGATTAGTAACAACGATGGAGTGGACTGATTGAATAACAATGCAGACAACACATACCGTTAAATGTGAGGATGTCTCCCTCCAACGAAAGATGTCACAGTTGTTTCAACTATTTCTGTTGATTACCCCAATGCTTTGACTTCTGCGACTGATAGAACTTGTGGTGGTAAACAACCCAAAGTTTGGAAAGTAGAAAGCTTCCAGTAATTGGTAAATCTAATGATCTAATAACGATTAATAACGTTGCATTTAGATCATAGAATATCCGTACGAATGGATGGATATCAAGGCATCACGGACACCCAATTCGAACTAACCTCAATACCACAGTCCAAAGAACATCCTAGTCTCGTCTTCTATAACCCATTAACATTACGTTCGGTTCTCTTTCGCCTTTAACCCCGCTCTCCCTCCTCTTCTCTGCTTGCATTTTCATAATTTCATTCCTTCCCCCATTTTCCCCTTCTGCATGCCATTATCCCCATACAATTCATTGTCTATATCACTGTCCAAATCACGCGCTACTTGATGAGACGTGAGATTTTCCTGAGCTGAAGTTGTTTCCACGAGAAGCCCGAGTTAAATCTTTGTGCTCCGACTCATCACGGTACAAGCAACACGAGATTATTGGAACTAACCTCGATACCACAATCCAAAGGACATCCTAGTCTCGTCTTCTATAACCCTTAACATTACGTTCGGTTCTTCTTTCGCCTTTAAACCCGCTCTCCCTCCTCTTCTCTGCTTGCATTTTCATAATTTCATTTCTTCATCCTTTTCCCCGTCCAAATCACGCGCTACTTGATGAGACAAGAGGTCCTGAAGTTGTTTCCATGAGAAGCCGAGTTAAATCTTTGTGCTCCAAATCATCACGGTACAAGCAACACGAGATTATTGGAACTAACCTCGATACCATGTTTTATGACGGGTTTTATGCGCGTTTTACGTTTTATGCCGGGTTTTATATGGGCAATCCAAAGGACATCCTAGTCTCGTCTTCTATAAGGATATTGATCCATCGATTCGACGTTTCGATTCCTGGCGCAAAGACGAAACCAGGCGCACATTTGGTCTACAGCGAACATATTCTGACGCATCACGAAACAACAACAATCCATGCAACTGACAAAGGGGGTGGGTGGGGTGAGGGTGGCCCATTAACATTACGTTCGGTTCTTCTTTCGCCTTTAACCCCGCTCTCTCTGCTTGCATTTTCATAATTTCATTCCTTCACCCTTTTCCCCGTCCAAATCACGCGCTACTTGATGAGACAGAGGTTCTGAAGTTGTTTCCATGAGAAGCCGAGTTAAATCTTTGTGCTCCGAATCATCACGGTACAAGCAACACGAGATTATTGGTGTTGACTCCCAATTCGAACTAACCTCAATACTACAATCCAAAGGACATCCTAGTCTCGTTTTCCATAACCCATTAACATTACGTTCGGTCACGGTCACTTCTAAACCCGCTCTCCCTCATCTTCTCTGCTTGCATTTCATAATTTCATTCCTTCCCCATTTTCCCCTTCTGCATGCCATTATCACCATACAATTCATTGTCTATATCACCGTCCAAATCACGCGCTACTTGATGAGACAAGAGGTTCTGAAGTTGTTTCCATGAGAAGCCCGAGTTAAATCTTTGTGCTCCGAATCATCACGGTACAAGCAACACGACTATGAGAATCAATCAATCGGTATGGAAATACGTTAAACAAAGTAGATGTTTTGTCAGTGCTTAATGCTACGCTATTATAACAAATTAAAATTGCTCTTCACTCACGTTGGTATTACTTGTCAATTTGCAGAACGCAACCTTGTTGAAGCATCATCTGCATTTAATAACTTAATCGACTCCATCTCCATATAATAATATATATGGGATCAATAATATGTGTCAGCATCATTACTGAACGGCATTGTTTGAATTAATCGAAACCCATCTATAAAAACAAAATAAATAGGTCGGTAAACATTAAGATAATATGCAAAGCTTTTTGAGAAGCGTATAACTGAATAATCACCAAGAGACCGATCCCATTGGTATACACTTGTACTGTCCGAGTTCCGAGCGATATTATATGGAACACACGCGTTTGTTGATAACGTAATTCGGCTAGATGGGACGCGAGTCATGATAGACCTCTTGCTCGTCTAAAGCCATCTCTAAATCTCGTTCGAGAAACTAATAATTGGCCAAAACCACAGATTGTTCTTATATTATGCACGGGAGTCTCTGTGTCGTTAGCGATAATTCTTCATTTACACGAATCATCCATCCGTTTCTGACTATATAGTCGAATACTACTGTAGTCAATCTAAGTTAACAATAGTGTGTAGATAGACATGTTGGCAATGACTCATCCACGTCTCAACGATCATTGCAAGTATGGGAAATTTTATCGCCCAAACGTCGTGTAACAACTGATTTCCACATCTGGAACATTTACATCAGTAGGCTCGTAAGCCGCTTTATGACAAAAAAATAAGGCGTAGTCTATCAATGCCAATGAGTACATAGAAGCATGCCTTTACGATCACCTGACACTCAACGCTCTCATCTCCTACTCTTTCTAGCGGTATCATAGTATCAAATATATATTGGACGAATTCTCCTTCTTATATCTATATATCCCTTTCGTAAGCCTCACTTGGTCCTTCCATTGAAATAATAAATCAATCTCTCCAGACTTCCTAATGCCTAGTTGCATCTTCTTCGGTCCTATGTGTTGGTTTGATATTCAAACTTGCAGTCGTTCGGGATAGTCAATTCAATACGAGCAATGTGTATTTGATATCGGGAGCGTACCATTGACTTTCTGGATATGTTTGCCCGTACTTACGTCTCGTTGATAACAGAGACCAAGATTTATTTGTGCATATTCTTCTTCAAAAAGATCACATTAGACTTTCTTGTCATTCATTTATGCATATTTTCAGCACTAAGAGAACCCTTACGTATTCTGTCCAGTTTAATGGGTAAAGTTTAGAATGTCTGGGGGCATCGAACGCGTAAATTGTGAGAGTGTATATAAAGAGGGATTGCAGTCGGGATTCATATTGTGTTTCCGTATCATGTATTGTGAATGTAGGATCTTGCCGATGTACATTGTGATTCCGTACCCTGCCAAGTGCGGTGAGTTTTCGATGGTCTTTATTAGGCACACGCCAAGTGCGTTACGTTCAATGTTACTTACCTACAGATTATCGAAGATTGATGCAAGATCCAATATAAACAATAATAATCAGGACATGTTGTACACGGCGAAAAATATTTCCTTTTTCACTGAAATTTCACCCCCAAGTTGTCTAATTGTCAAGATTATATTACCCTAAAAAAGAAAATATTTCTTTGTGTAACATGTATAACATTCCCCGATTATATAATACTGCTGGTTTGAGTGCAGGTACACTTTCGACAAAGTATTTTCGATTAGAGCGCTCTGTGTATAAATGAATTCACTATTACAACCGTTTGCCATGCATCGAACAATTTATAGTCACGGGATTTGAACTTCTTGCGATTATTGCCACAACAGACCGTAGCACTGTCATATGGAGATATTGATCAGCATATCATAAAAGCGTTGGACCGCTAGCTAAATCTCAAAGGTTGATGAGCAGTCATTGAACGCGCCGGTAATAAGCATTTACATTATCTTATAATACAATATCCGATTACATGCTTAAAACAAGCTCTTTCAAAGAATGTCGGACACTTCGGTTGCGAAAAGTTGGAATTATTAATCGTATATTTCTTTGGGAGCATTCCGTAAGATTATATTGCAAGTTTTCAGACAATTCACGATCAGATTATGGTGGGAGGAGAGGGCGTAGCACACCTTGGACGACGGGTCGTAGCACTTTGCGTTAAAATCTGGAACTTTTGGCTTTGGCGAATTTATTAAGGCGTGGGGCGAAACTCTGCGCGAACTTGAAGCTTTCGACACTTTACGTGAATTTAGACAACCCGATTGTGAAGGCAAACATGTCGGACAAATACGGTAAATTGTACACTTAGAAAGAGAGGTTTTGTTTTTATAGTCAATTTATTGACTACCTTTATTTAAAAAAAAATTCACCACTTCACCCCGCTGCACGCTTCTGCAGCCCCACCAACTCGGCCTCTGCCTCCGCATACCTCTTCTCCCTCCCCCCAAAAAGCCGAAGGCTTATCTTGACCGCCGCCTGGTATTCTTTTACTAGTTTATTAAACCGGCGGCGGTACTCTTCGACCTTCTCTCGGTACCGCAACTCCGAGTAATTAGGCCGGGCTGAGCCGGTGTCTGCGGATGGCCGGCACATTACTGGAAAACCGAAAAAGAAAAAAGTGATGAATTATCTGCTAAACAATGAAGTAAAAAGAAATATATTGAGTAACATTCACATGCAAACCTTGCGAGTTTATGACTCCACCGACAAATAAACTATAATCTGCTGGCGATAAGCAGACGAACGTCTAATGTAACAAAAAAAAAACAAAAACATCTCACTTATTAGTAAAGAGCTTCTAGACAGGTTTTAGCTATAGAGAGCGTACAAACCTTTAATAAGTCCTGTTTGGCTTCAATTATATCGGTAAATTTTTCTTTTTTCACATCGATTTCCAGATAAAGTGGTAAGTAAACAGGTTTCTCGAATTGGAGTTTGTTGCACTGGAGCCATTTTACTGCTTTATACATATCCGGCTCGCTTTCGCGTATGGCTTCCAAACGATGGTCGTCCACGACAGTGAGAGACTTGATCTTCAATATTTGAAAATAGATCGATCTATGTCGGAATAACGATTAACTTCTCATTTTTCTATAATTATAATTCAAAGGTGCGTCTCTCTTAACTCAAACTTACTCTATATCATATTGAAGCAATGCTTCTTGTTCGGCATGCTCTATGTCCATATCGTCGTCATTAATTTGTTCTAACTTATCATTGATTACATTCTATAGATTTCATATTAATTAGTTACCCAAAACCGATATCATTTCCCTTTAGAAAACCAAATAATAATAAAAAACATACCATTTTATCTTGAATGCCCATGGTATTATATACCGGCGGTAATTCAGCCATCACTGCCTCAAGCTGCTGCATTTCATGACGTAATATGGTAATTCTGTTTCGCTCCTGTTTCTGTTTCTTTATGAATCTGCATCTAGTCACTTCTCGTTCTGTACCATCCCAATCATTTTTCTGTATGAAACAAAATTTTTAGCTCAAGTCTGGTAATAGTTATTATGTCCTAAATTAACACGGGTTTTCGACTGACCAGGTGTTCGATTCGTTTAATGATTCCGTCAATTTCTGTTTTCGCATTCATGATGGCGCTAATGGATTAAATATAATGCACATATTGTCTATGTTTAGTTTGTTATAGAATAACGTAGTATATAGGCATGTAATTTACTTACATCTCTCTTGCTATGTCCTCGGCACTCTAAATCAATAATTATTTCGGTGGTGAGAACACGTTTGTGAGAATCATTGCACCAAAACCAATTATTTACCTTTACTTTTACTTGCGAGCAGAATGGACTAAAAACAACATTTAAATTTATATTTATCACGTGGTTTAAAATTGGTAAGGGCACGGACAATATGTGCATAATCACATGAATGGCGCAATGGATTTATGGTCAACACTCTATCTTGTATAAGCATATTATCTATGATACCCCTTGTGTAACTATATTTATTAAACACTAGAATTCGGACCGAAATAACTTACCCGTCAAAATAAGGTTGCATTTTTGAAGAGTGGAGGAAAGTAGAGAGAGTATGTGGAGAGTAACGTGGAGTAGAGAGAGTAATGTGGATATGGAGAGTAATGTGGATATGGAGAGTAATGAGTAATGTGGAGTGGAGAGAGTAATGTGAATATGGAGAGTAATGTGGAGTAGAGAGAGTAATGTGAATATGGAGAGTAATGTGAATATGGAGAGTAATGTGGAGTAGAGAGAGTAATGAGAGTAATGTTGATGGATATCGTTGATTGTTGTTGATTTTAGCCGATAAGACTGGAGCAAAAAACGTCGTGCACGACGCGAGCTTAAATATAAATGTTGGATCCCGTGATGCCCAATCTGTGCAATGACAAAATCGGTTGTTTTTTCTATTGAGTGTACTCTAAAAAATGCCTGGTAATTAAATCTATTTTATTCACGTACGTTAGCAATAGTATGTATAGAAACATCAGATTAGTCGATTCTTACGGACCTTGATATTGTTTGTTCATTTTCTATGACATGCCATTTTAAGACAATGCGGACACAATGCTTGTGGTACTTAATTTACACATTTTAGGATACCCATATGACGAAAGGAAAGCAACCATGATAATAAAATATCCTGCAACTTTATAAGTTTATGTGAGGGGGGGAAAAATACTTTCGAACAGTAGTATTCTCAACCGCTAACACTTTTCTACCTGAGTAGGATAAGTAAGGCTTTGATGACTCACGGTTTATAAAACCGTGTTTTTAGAGATAGAACAAACGACGGGCGGTTGGCAACAAGCCTCCTTGTGCTCAGGTCAATTAAATTCCAAGAAAGGTAGGTTCAATAGCGTAGTCGTTTGTGTAAAGAGGTTGGGAATTCAATTAAATATTCCTGGAGACTAGTGGCAAAGTTGTTATACAGTATTTTTTTTTTTAAAGAACTTGGCTTTATCAATGTATAATGCAATATAATTTACGCTGCGGATGTTTCATTGTTTCTATTAGAAGTATATTTTGAAGGGATACACTACATGTAAACAACGATTAAGCCAAGCCAATCCTCTCAAGTTACGATCAAATAGACACAATAGCATGGTACCCTGACACCATCGATAATGCCAAGCGCTTATGGTTTAACCATTTACGTACAGTATACAACATCGGCAACAATTTTCCGCCTCAGCCCATCGTATGAATGTCTTTGTCTCCCTCACTATGCTTATCAATCTATTACATGGAACGAGGCTTAGCTAATAACACAATCAAGCGAACAGGTTTATCAATCAGCCAAAATACCATAATATATACACTAATGTACTAAAGCCTAAAGTTGTTGATGCAAATATTAATATAAATGGTAAACATCATTGTAAAGGCGTACGCAATATGTTTGCATGTTATTGTAATTTAAGACTTTCCCGATTAGATATACTGGCGTATAATATAAATAAATAACTACCGGATCCCAATAAATGGAATAAAGCAGATATGTAATTTTTTTTTTCCTTTTAATAACAAACGATTGGCTCTACAAAAATCGGAACACCTTAAAATTGGTTACGCAAGGCTTACGTTAGGCCTGTCAGCAGATCTAATGCACGTCTCGTCATACTTATCTATGGCGACTTTTGAAGCCGATAACTCCGACAATCATGCTGGATTGGTTCACTCACAAGGTCCCTGAGCTAACCAAGTAGCATTATTTCTATTTTTGACCTAATAATGAGAAACAATAATCGATACACAAGAGAAACAATAATCGATACACAAGAGTAACAATAATCGATACACAAGAGAAAGTGTTGTAGATTATCGGAGTTCCTACCGAACGTTTTAGGAAAGCAGGTTATTTGAATGTGCCATAGTTCTCGATCCAAGTTTATAATAGCAACATTAATTATACGAAAGTTATTTCCGCAGTTCTCCACACACACTACAATAGTCAGAAAGGTGAATTGGAAGCCATTGGATAATTATTTTAAATTCGGTAAGTACGTGGAAAGAAACTGCGTAATATGATTAAAAGCTGCCAACAACCACAGTACGATCTTATTGATATTATCTAGAAATAGGTGTAGACAAAAAAAATGAATCAGAAAGCCTTCGAGCTTTACCGGCCATTGAACACGTTGCCGGTCGTGGAGATGTACGGGTACAGTATAGCCCTCGGCCTCTGGTAAGAATTTCCAGATCAAGAGTACGTCCTCGGTTCAATATTGGCTCGTCTGTTGTTATAGAAGTAGAACCAGCGTTGAAAGGGATTACGATAAAGTAATCGATCTGTACCAGAAAATGGTAATGGGTATTCCAAGGTTCTATATCTTAAATGAAAAGACATTTAATCGTTCCCAGCGGAACAGGTCGGTGTGATTTCGAAAATTACTATTAGCCAATAATCGAACTTGCCATCGACATCAGGTTATTATTTATCTAGGTAAGTCTATACGTACGCTATCCCACGTGACATACACATGACACTACCATAATATTTATGTACACGTAAAACTTATGGTAAGAAATATAACGGAAAAACAACATTAACAAATGTTAACAAATCCCTTCCCTTGCCTTCAACGTCTCCAAGAGTCGCCAAACAAGTCGATTGTCTCCTTCTTTCTCAATTTGAAGAAGTGTTCCCTCTCCCGTGTCTCAGTTCCTTCCCCCCGGAGCCGTACGGGCTTACCGTGTTCCGCGTGGGGCACTACGACTTCCTTTAGGGCTGACTTCTGCCCCGGCAGCGTCCATCGCAGCTGCGCCACCAACGCAGCCCCTGCTGCTTATCGCCTGTACAATTTTCGACAAGATCCTGTGATTGTTGACAACTGCAATCCTATGAGACAATCCTACAAGAATGTGATTCACAACCATTCTATGGTGATTCACATCCATTACTTCCCACACCCACTACTCCCCACTACCACTTGCAACCTCGATTATCTGATGGGAGAGGTAATTTATCGATAATAATAAGAAGACTGATATATCATAAAATTTGTATATTTAAACACTCGTTCCACAATATCTATACCCAGACGCACATACGACAGTTTAATTACAAGTTCTTAAAACAATGGCTTATAACAACAAATACGACTACACTAACGTGCGGTAGATACACACAAATCAGGGATGTTCAGAGCCGCATTATGCCCGCTTCATCTTTGTTTTGTTATGGACTGCGCTCCAGTCGGATCAATCGAAGCATCTCCGGGTAAGAAAAAGTCAAACACTTGCTGTCATTTGCTGAGTTTGTTTGTAATTGAGATTGATAATTGTTGACATTGATTGTATTGTTTCTCACATAGCTTGATCAAATGTTATCATTCTTGATAGTAAAAAGATAACACTATCCACATTGCTTAATGAATGGTGGTTTGACATTATCCTTATATAATTGTCACAAACTTGTAATGTGACTGAGATCAAGGGGATTGCAACAAGAATGTATTGACTGTTTCTAAAGCTTTAATCCTTCCTACCCAACCCCCTGCTATAATAATGCTGGCTGCATGTTCCTGATCTGCTGCTGCACTTTTAATAATAATATTGAACTGGACATTTTCATAATCACCATCTATAATGTCATAACACAGGCCAAGCCATGTGCATGTCTCAATTCAACCACCTGTTCCCAAAGCTTAGTAGTTTCTTGATATCAGCTTACCACCCCCAATATGTCAAGATAACCAGACAGCCACAACATATTGCAGCTCTTTGAAAAATTGTTCTACCTTAGCATGGTAACTCATCTCCCTCATCATCTTTCTCATCATCTTTCTCATCCAGACTTTGTTACCCTTCTTGAACTACTTGAATAATTGTCTCCTTATCCACAAGTTTTTCTATTTCACTTTCTTCATCAGGATTCTCTGTTCTCATAGGCTTTCTGAATCTAAAACAATAGTGATAACAGATATAACAATTAAGGTGGTAATATTCCTCTCTACCTTAAAATTATTTCTTCTTCATCTTGCTCTATCTCTTCATTATTATATAATAGTATACCTTCAACAGTTGACAATGGTATTAACTGTAATACCATTTCTCCAAATGGATTGAATAAACAGTATAGCTTCCAAAATGTTAAGCTTAGTAACTTGCTCATTCCTCTCAACATGTATAAATTGACATCAGTAATGTCTCTTGAAAGATGCAATATTACTGGTATCACAAGATTGAATTCTTTTGGCAGTAAAAATGCACAAATGAACAGGTGACGAATAAATGCCAAATAGTATTCAGACTGACATTATCTGCTTTGCTGCTCCTATCGGAATGATGGTGGATCTCCAACCATAATTTATACATGCCATTCAGGTGATTGATCAATCAATTGGCCCAGTATGCGAACAGAAGAGTACAGTCACGAAAAATTTTCTTATAAATTACATGGGAGATTCACCGTCAAAATGTCTTTATCAAACAAGACGCTGTTACATAATATCACGCAATCTCCTCAAACAAAATTTCAATACAAACCAAATCATCAAATTGTCTTGATGACACGCTGCTCTCTGCTTTGTGTCCATTACCAAGCACCTGCTATACGTTGACGATCTGACGAAACTACAGTCACTAGCTCGGATAATGGAAGAAATTTACGGCGGCAGTGGACACTTTTTTTTGCAAACTCAAGAAGCACGGAATGTGAGAAAAGAGCCTCTTCATGACTGGAAGAAAGGGAGTGGGGGGGGGGGGGGATGGCTAAAGCCAGCGGCCGACGCATAGCTTACAGCTTACGGTGGTGAAAAGATATGTCATTTTAATGTTTGACATTATAATTGAAAAATTAAATTGTAATAATATTATTTCTAAATTATTAAAATGTATCTTTCAAAAGTTTATTTAACAAGAAAATATATAGTAGTCTTAAAGTTTTAAATAAAGTCGTCAATGTAAAAATAGTTTTATTAAATTTATTAATATTGGTAAAATTATAGAATTCAATTATTTTTCTTTCCAAAATAGCCTATGAAAACTATATGAATTATTACTTGTTGCTGCATGTTATAGATCGATTCTTAATATCAACGAGTTGGCTGTTTCACATTATCTACTTCTTGACAAAGTGATCATTATCTATTTATAAAATAAAAAGAAGCGGATTATCTACTGTATGCATTGTATCAGAGGATCACGCTAGTCTTGTCATTTACACATCTAACACAATAAAAACGTTGCACGATCAGACTATTAATTAACGCGGGTTTAGTACGAACGAGCAGCAGGATTTAATTGAATGTCAACTAAGCAAAATGATTACTAGTCCAAGAATGAATTATTCTTTGACGATGAAAGTACACCTTTAGCGTTCAATCGTAAGTGTAAACAAATAAAGAACGCAAAACTCCAAGAATGAATTATTCCCTCCATCCCACGATGCTGTATAAAATTGCTCAGCCACTTAAATTTGAGTTTTCGAGGTCTTTATTTAGGCGCAGTAAACTTAAATTGAGGGTTACTTGCCGATCTATTCACACGAGATGGTTCAGAACGTTGCTCATTAAATAATCTTGTATAATCAACGTCGGGCGAAGAGAGGTAATAGTGGTTTGTATGACGAGTGGTGAAGGTGTAAAGCGACTGTTTGTGGATATAGAATGTTATTAAGCTGTTCTAATTCACTACGTAAACAAGGATGCGGAGTTGCTTGTTCTGGCAAAGACTGGATCTTTGCGCGTTTTTCAAGTAAGTAATAATGATGTTATCTGTTACTAATTCTCGCCATCGAATCTACCTGACATTGAACTCTTACGTTTATACATCTAGTCGTGCAATCTTTCCTCGAATTCTCTCTTCGTTCGACCTTGGTAACGATTCATCTCTGGCATTCGACTTCCTCCGATTAATCAGCGTTGCGCATACTTTAAGCTGTAAGTGCAATTATGAACTTGTCTGATTGTCGTGACACCCCTTGGCAATATGATTTTAGATGCTAACAGCACATATCTTCTAGAACCAAAGGATTTTCTTGGATTCACGAGCGCTTAATGGGCATAAATGCGAGTATCTACAATGCACACTATTCCGACCATATCAACGTTCCGAGGTTGAATAGCCAACTGACATGCGGAACAAAAGAAGACCACAATGAAGTTTAGAAGGCAGTTTCGTATTCTAGATGGATTGGAAACAACAGAAGATCTAGGGAAAGTTGTATGGCAAATAGAGGATTGACAAGCGAGGATTAGGACTAGAGAGGATGGGATTAGAAGCAACAGGTACAACTTCTGTGTGAGGAAAGAATAAGAGCTTCGGTAAGTTAAGATGTGTGGGAATTCGGCAGAGCAAGAGAAACTTGGAAAAAGATTGTCGAGTATGTATGTTATGTTCGTGTGTGGCTGCTCATGTTTATCTTAATCTGTTATTCTGTCTAGGCTGTCCGCACTCAACAATAATGCTTAAAACTTCAGTCTTTACATTGAGACTGACATTAAGACAGAAGAAAGCCAATGTACTTAATATTAACGCCAAATTTGGCAAATCCGCTGCTCCCATTGTTTCTGTCGATCGAAGATTTACTAAAATTACCGTCCGCAAAACGTTCCAAAAAACACAAGCCGTTAAACCGGTTTTTAATCTATCGCAGAAATTATGCAGCAAGCTTTCCATAGACGAAAAGCCGAACTTCAAAAAAAACCACCAAAGATGCTTCGGCAAAATGGATGCCTGAAGGGTCGACACGCCCCGCCTCCATATTTGGACAATGGGTTATCACCGGGAACAGTATACCTTTGGCATCACCCGATTATTTATTTACGCACTCTCTTTTTAGTTATATAATTCTCTTAATATTAAGCCAACATTATCCTTCACAAACACACCACAGCATAATTGTGACAGTATATAAGAGTACGCATTGTACACATCATGAAATTGTAGTACGAAGTATAAATTTATATAACTTTCCTAGCATTAAATAAAGTCTTCTACATAGGCTATTATGACAAATAGGACGCGATTATCTAATAAGATTGTCGAAGAAGTGCTTGTCACTAACTATAACATGTAGCGTATATATTCTTCTTTTTTTGTTAAATAAAAGACTTTGAGCAATATAGCACGAATTTGGCTGTAAATTTGCTGGATAAAATAACTTGGCCCAAACATGTTAATCATAATACAATATCAACATTATCTTTGTTGCATACTT